AAGGTGTCTAGGCTGCAGGGCCCGTGCGGAGCTCGGCGGTGACCTTGCGGCGGCCGCTGTCCGCGGTGCTGAAGGGGCAGGGCCGTCCCTGTCCGCGGTGCTGGAGGCGCGGGCGGAGCGGGGCCGGCGGGCGCAGCTCTGCCGGGGGACCCAGGGAGACACAGACCCATACCAGCCCCACTTACCCGGCACGGCCAGGAGGAGGACGGCGAGCAGTTCTGGCCGGCTCATGGTTCTGGTGGGATGGAGGCAGGGAGAAAGGGGCAGAGGGCGAGACTGTCGTGGCGTGGGGGCTCCAGGCGAGGTGCCGGGGAGAGACCAGCACGGAGCTTGTGTATCTACGCCAGTGCCCTGGCTGAAGATCCCAGATGGGGCACTGCAGCAACCGGCTCATTTATATATCTCAGCCCTCGGAAATGGCGTCAGGAGGAAGCCACCTCCTCCTCTGCCCCCTCCCCTCGCACACAGGCTTCCCATCAGCCTCCATCACTCGCCGGGTGTCGGAGGAGCCCCGAGCTCCCCGGCTGCCCATGCAAAGGTGTCGGGCTCTGGTTGCTCCATCTTCTCAGGCTCTGCAGGCACAGGAAGGCTGTGAGGTGTGTTTCCAGGATACCGCTTTTCCAGCACCTCAGCCGACACTGGCAATCTGCAGCACCTCTGCACAAGTGCCCTCTCTCTATGTACCTGTAGCCAAACGTGAGGCACCTCGTGTGTCCCAGCCAGCAGTGCCCAGGGTCCCCTTGTCTTTCACTGACCATGGAAGTTTAGGACACGTGCTGTAATTTTTAGATGCCTTTTAAAGGTCTGCACTCCAGGGAATTGGTCACCATGAAAAGGGCTTGCCAATGGACATGGTAAGTCACAGCATTTCTATGAAAGGTTTGTTAGCAGGATATTATTTGGGTTAAAGATCAAAGGCTGGTGCATCTGCTGTCCATCTGTGACTCTACAAACAAAATTTCAATAGGTTGCTACCCTTTGTTCAATATTTTATTACATTCTTTAGCAATGCCCTACACTCCAAAGTTGAAGTAACCAAGATTACCTGGCTGCCAGTTTGCATTGACAAGGCAGAGAGAGGAAACAACTCATTGTGTATTACACTTAGTCACAAGTATTTCCATGCTTTTGAAAAAATGCCTGTCTCTTCTTTGGATGGAGCATCTGTCAGGTCAGTCAGCTGGATTCTTTGTTTAAAGTGACTCTAATGCTTCTTTAGGACAAGAGCTACTTTTGCTCTGCCACTCCATTCTATTCCTCAAACAATTTCAAAGGTCACAAAATGCAGGCGTTTAGACTAGAAAACAAAACTCAGAAAAATGTGCCGTCTTTCTTCCCCACCCTGCCTCACTCTGCTCACTGGAGAGTCCCGCACTCAAGGAATTAGGGAGAAACTAAAAGGTCATCACTTGTCATCTTGTCTAAGATGACAAGAACTTTTCTATGAGATTAGGCAGTACAGACTGCACCATCGTTTTCTCTTTCTCTTTCCAGGTGCACGTGGAAATGTGTTCCCAAATGTCCTCTAATATCTATCTGATTTAAATGCATGCTTCAAAAGGCACATTTGGATTGCAAAAGGCCATTCATACAAAATCAAAGCTCCTCTTGTCTGTTGCATTTTCTAGTTAAATGCAGAGAAAAGATAGAAATAAATTGATCTTCTGAACAGTGCTTTGTGGATGGTAGTGATGGATGGTTAAATGTTTGTAAGTCTATGAAATTAACATCATGACAGTTCTTGTTCCATGGGGAACCTCCAGGAATAAGAAATATCCTTTCTTTTTGGTTATTGTGTTGTTAGGTTTTGGGTTTTTTTTTTCTTTTTCTTTTTTTTTTTTTTCAGGGTGTGTGTGTTGTTGAATTATTTGAGGAGGGGGAATGGGGGCCATGTACAATGGCCTATCACTCATTCAGGATACACTACAGCATTTAAGTCTCTGAGTCTGAAAAACTGAGCATTATTGAGCTTGTAAATTCCTATATATTCCTAAGTGAGAAACAGATTGATCTGCTTGTCAGGCTATGTTTTCCTAGTCAATATTTACTTGTGCTTACGTAAAAATGCTGATCTTATTAGGGCAATAAATTATCTCAGTTCTAATCCAGTTTCTTACATGAAGTCTTTTTCTTCTCTGGGGCTTCATTTTGAGAAATTTAACAGGATATGTAGTGCCCATAACTAATTTTTTTTCTTTGCTTTGTCAAGGTGTGGTCTTGCATCCATTAAGTTCATTGCAAAGGACAAACTGAATGCTTTCCAGGTACGGCATGCATACTCCCACTGTAATAGCATATGATGGATGATGAATTTTTCTATTTCTTGTCCCAGAAAAATGGATATGAAACTGTTAATCCAGCAATCAGTATTTCTGCTATTGGAATTTGTCTCATTAGGCACAGCTATATTAGGAACTGTCACAGTACAGCATGCCAGGGAAAGATTTATGTCAAAAGAGCAAAAGTGATCAAATAAAAAAGTGAAAGGTATTCTGCCACTCAGAGAAAGGCAATGCCTGAAGCAGACTCCAAGGGAAGAGTAGGTCTGTGAGTCTCTAAAGTAGTTTGTGTTTTAGTATATGGAAAACAAGAGTAGATCTTCAATGGGTGGCAAAGTAGTGAAGATGGACATTTCTGACCACTTTCAGCCTTATAAAAAAAGCTGTGGATGTCTATAGAGAACAATTCTGTTTTTCCCACAATTTCACGTACATGAAGTGTGGTGGGACTGTGGAGAGCCATATACCACGACCTGCCTGCAGTCACCAACATAACATGTGCAGATGGACAAAGAGATATTTGCCTTCCCATCCTGAAAGTGATTTGAGAAGATGACAATGTCTGGATGGATGGAAGCAGCCACCCAGCACTGTTGCATTATCCATGCTCTGAGCCTAGGCAACAAGAGGGTCAGCCTAAAAGCCATATTGATATAAGATCTTTCTATGTATAAGGTCATTTGATTGAGAGATTATGTGGCTTAAGTGCTATTCTCAAGAGTAAAATTTTTTTTTTACTTTATTCCAGAATTCAGGAAAGAAAACCAAAGGAACTTGTGTTTTTGAGTTACTCTGAGAGTTTTGTTGTCTAATTTCTTGGCTGGAACAGGGCTAAGAACCCACTCCCTTTCTGTGCTTGGAAACACTGACACTGCATTTCAAACAGCTGTGATTTTACTGGTCCGGGTACTGAGGCACATAAAGAGGGGAAGTGTTATTTTCATGAAGGTATCAAAAAGGTTTGAAGCCAAGGCACAGCTAATACCACATCCTAACCAAAAAGGCACTAAGAAAAAAATAGGCAACAATTATCTTCTGGTATATGAAATAAATTAATAACTGTTTGACTGAAAAACTTGAATGTAAGCTCATTGCCAAATTACTAGCAAAGTCTATTAAAACCCCCTTTCTCAAAAATCACACCTTTTCTTCTTTCCTGCCTTAGCCAGTCACACTCACCTCTCAGTTCCCTCATACAAGCCTTGCATGTCTGCCTGTAAATAGCAGTAAACTTCAAAGCTCAGTTTGCTGCTGTGAATACTCATCTGTGCTGCTCCAAGGCATTCCTCTCTTCTTTTTCAGGTCAGAGGCAAAATGATGTTGACTTGCTTTGATTTTCTTAGTCTAGACTGTCCTTGCACCAACCTGAAATTAATTTGAAATTAATTTCTTTTCCTGTTGAAATGTTTACTTACACCCCATAAAAAAGCTCATCATTCTGCCAAACCTGACAGTAGCTAGCTCTATCCATTTTCTTCCTTGCCTGGCATGCACAGCTCTCTCTGGGGCAGATGGAGTATGTTTCCTGCCGGAAGAAGAGACTTCTCTGTAGTGAGCACAGATATACCATCTGGACACACCTACAAATAGCTTTTTGGGTCTCAACATAATTGTTCTAAATGTTATTCAAACACCAATCTGGAAAATGTCATACCCCTCCAATGTCACAGTCAGTTTACCTGGCAGTTACACAAAACCTTCATTGATTCCCTTGAGCCCCCTGAATCTGCAAATAGATGTGGAGACAGAGGTTCTTTCTGAACAGTGATCTCAAACAGCCCCCTCTGGAAATTACTGATTGTTCCTATGGCTATGGTTTTATTTGGCTTGGGACAGTTTATATGTTTATATGATGCTGATGTATATACTCAGTAAGATAAAACAATTCTATAAGTTCTAGACTGGTCTTATGTTCATGAGAACATAATTGATATTGTTTACTTTGCTCTGAAGGTAGAGACAGGCAGTCCTGTTTACTGACCTGCAGGGCTCATAGGAGTTAAGGGAAAAAAATAGTGACAAGAATGACTAAGATCTATGGAGGAGCACTCCTCTTCTGGGGGGTCCATTACCCATCAGACAGCCTCTACTCTGCCAGCAGCTTACAGCCAACAGATGGATCCTCAGCCAGCATCAGCCCAGATTCTCAATATTGACTGTCTGGTATGTTTTGTAGAAATCACTTTTATTCCTCTTCCTTTATACACCCAATCTGTCTGTCCATTCCAGCCCAGTTGCTCAGGGAAAACCAAGTGAGCCACAGAGGTCCTGGGTCTCCTGGGCTACCCACAAGGCCAGAATTCAAATGTTGTGAGCATGGTAAAGGGTTTTTTTTGAGATGGAAGATAGATGCACTTGTGCTAACTTTTCCAATTAATGGAGATGAAATGGCAAAATCCCTAATTAAAAAGCAATTGTAATTAGAACATTTCCCCCGCCTCCCTCCACAACAGCAAGGTTTGGAATTATGAAACACATAAACAATTCCCATTCTGGATGCTTTCTTTGATCTCTGCTCACCCTGGAAACAATGCACTTGATATTTATTATGGCCCTGATATTTATTTTACAGTGCTCCACAATGTTTTAGTGTTAATTAGAAATATCTAGTTTGATTGTCCCTCTGAGAGTCTCTTCTCAAATTTGGTACCTTCCTCAGCTTTATGGCATTAAATGCCACAGTTTGCTTTAACACAGCAAAATTATCTCATCTGATATTTTTAAATTACCTCTTCTTCTATTCTAAAACCTGGGAAAGACAAATTTTTTCTCTTCCCTAGTCCAGTGAGGCTTTCATGATATTTACATTTCTCTCTTCCTCATGTCCTTTCAAAGAGAAACAATCTCAGTCATCTGGTTCTCGTGAGGCTCCTTTAAACCTGACTACTAGCCAGCGAGTCCCACAGGTTAATTACCTACAGCATATAATTACCTATAACATAATGCAAAGAGATCCTGGGGTAT